GGAATACTGAATTATTTTAAAAGACTTATACCAGACCTTAGTAATAAGGAATTGCCACTTATAGAACTATTGAAGAAGAATGTTAAATGGAAATGGAGAAATGAACAAGAACAAGCATTCACTGAATTAAAACAAATGTTTATAAACAATTTAAAAATATATCACCCTGACTACAATTTACCGTTTACTCTTCGTACTGATGCGAGCATGTTGAGATTTGCAGGTGTACTAGTACAGAACCAAGGGGGAAAAGAAGTTCCTATATCTTTTGTTTCACGAGTAACAAAAAACCATGAGCGTAATTATAGTGTTACAGAATTAGAATTAGCTAGCATAATATTTTGTATCACCAAGCTGAGATTCTATTTATTAGGATCGAAATTTTTCATCGAGACAGATCATGAGGCACTGATGTCGATCGTAAACTGTAAATTTGCTAATAATAGAATTCACAGATGGGCACTGTTGCTCCAAGAATATAAATTTGAAATAAGACATATACCTGGAAAACAAAACATAATTACTGACACGATAACGAGAATGGGGACGGACAAGACTAATAATAACAGACAAATTAAGATAGGGTTGAATGTATTTAAAAAATTGACGGGACTATACTCTTTACAAACGGTAACTCAGGACCAAAACAAATTGACTGACAAAGAAAAAAAGAGAACAATAGAAAGAAATGGGATTATTATTAAAGTAGTTAATGGAGAAGAATTGTATGTAATAACGAAAGGACTGACACAAAAATTAATTGAAGACATACACCATAAATATGCACATACAGGAACTAGAAAGACATGGATGATATTTAGGGAAAATTACATAAGTAACAGAGACTTAGAGACGACAAAATACATAATTAACAAATGCGCACTATGCCAATTAGCAAAATATAAAAATAAAACCAATAAAAACGAACCTAGAAGTATAATATCACATAGACCACTACAAATAATTTCTATTGACTTTGTTAGCAATTTAATAACAACTCATAATAAGAACAAACACATATTTGTTATCACTGATCATTTTTCGAAGTTTGTAAAGTTATATCCAACAAAGAAAACCAATTTGAAAATTGTAAAACACTTATTATTGAAATTCATAGTAGACATAGGAAAACCAGAGCAGGTTATCCTAGATAATGCTACCTATTTCAATAATGACAAAATGAGAAAATTTGCCCAAACAACAGACATACGACTTAACTTTACAAGTATTAGACACCCAGCATCTAATCCGGCCGAGAGGTATATAAGAGAAGTAATAAAATATTTGACAATTATTTCACAAGAAAATCACCAAACATGGGATGAAAAGTTATTTATGGTAGAACAATTTTTAAATGAAGTACCAAGTACAATAACAGAAGAGTGTCCAAAGTATGTAATGACTGGGAAAATGCCTGAGAGAGAATGGATTAGTAATGAAAGAGATTTGAGTGAGATTATGGAAAGAGTGAATAGAAGAATACAGAGAAATGCAAATAAGTATTTAAAGAAAGAAAATAAACGTAGAAATAAAAAGGTGAAGTTTAAGAAAGGGGAATTAGTCATTTTAAAATCTTTAAGAGTTCCTAACAATAAAAGAGGGATATGTGCAAAATTGTTACTACCATTTGAAGGTCCCTATGAAATTGACAATGAAGAACCCAAGAATAGCTACAGGTTAATAAATCCAATAGATAAAAATGTAAGAGGAATATTTAACATAGAAAGTATCTATCAATATAAATCATAAAGTAAATTAAAAGTGAATATGTAAATAGAAAATTTTATTTTTGAATTTGTTATTAAAATACCAAGATATCAAATATAAAATTTGGGAAAATTGTTATGAAAAATGTTGATTAGTATAGAAATTTATTAAAAAAAAAATTATCTTGTAAAGTGATTCAACTCTGAGATATGGTGAAAAGTTGGTAAATATCTTTAAATTAAGTTAATTATAAATTTGTACAGTTAGTTTTAAGAAAAATAATAAAAAAAAAATAATGTTTTGAAATTGAATGCTGTTACACTAAATACAGTGAACGAATTTCGGAGTGGAGTGTGAAAAGAAATAGAGGAAATCTAGGAAGAAGGCACAGGGAGACTGTTACCATGGAAAAGTTTGTTTTTTTGTTTGTGGTTGTTGTTTGGGGAAGCCATTATGAATGATAGAAAGAAAAATTACCGATTTTTACAACAATCAGAAAATTAAAGAAAAAACCAAATAGAACTGATAGAAATTGGCATAAGAAAAGCGACTAAACATAATTGGACACAGATTGAATGAAGAAACTCACCTGAAGCTGCATTTTAACATATAAAATCCAGGAGGAAACTACATGGATACACTACCAGTAAAAGAATAATATCCAAGGTATTTATCTCAGGATCCATACAGTACTGAGTATATTTCTACAAACTTCCTGATGTTCTCTTCAATGAATTTGAATCACAATCTCACATGAAAACAAGAAATTTATCTACTACAAACTTTTGTGCGCTCTAAGTGACTTTTAAAACTCCATAAAAAACATTTCCTACAGTAAATACTACTCATTATTCTGTATAACAGACTCTATTTATACATTAGCAGACACCATATCTCCAATGTTGGGAGAAATTTCATAGTTTGTAAACAATAAGTTTGGTTAGAATATCACCGATCTGACAGAAAACCTAATCATTAATTCCGTTGTGGCTAGTGAATCAGCGCCGTGACTATAACACATGAAAGGAAAGGTTCTGTGGTATTCTTACAATTTCAACATTTTTGATAATTAAAAAAAAACATTGATAGAATTAAGTTAGCTAGCGCAGAATAGGGTAGAAATAAGGTAAGACTGATTTGAACACCATAATTTTCATGGTTTTTTTTGATGAATGTTTATAATAAAACCAACAATCAGAGTTTGAATCATCTTTATGTAATTCTTTTGGTACAAAAATAGTCAAGGTATCTATAAAAAAAAAAATATTAAAAAAAAACCTTTCTGAGAATTCTACCTGAGCAAGAGAGTTCTGCATGTTCTTGGGTACCGACTGAGCTGAGTTAGAGTAGAAGAAATAAAAGGTAAGAGACAACAATGAGAAGAGTGTAAGTATTTATCTGGGCAATCAATAATATAAAAAGAAATACAAACTATAACAGTATATTTAGTGAAGTGACCAAAACTGAGTTCAACCCATTTTTGTTGAAGAGTAGGCGAGTGGAGGATTTTTACCCTTGTTTCACGTTTATTCTCATGCTTAACGCAGAATAAATGAATTGTTCCCAAAGATGGATGCTTCATTTTTACACTTGGAGATATGCAACTACCAGAACATTCTCTTCGATTTCACTTTCGTCTACATTTCGCATATATTTTTAATGAAGAATTTTGATACAAACGAATATTGTTTGAATAATTCTGATACAAAATTTTAAAATAACAGTTGACAGTTGATACAATTGACAGGCCAGACATGTCTCAAATTACTGAAGCTGTGTTTAATAAACTGTGTTGCCATGGTAATGTGTTTGAGAAATCGTGTTGCCATGGTAACGTGTTTAATATTTTCAATAAATCACAGATCGACAATCCGTGATTAATCGATCATTAAGCGTAGTACATATCCGTACGCTAAATGCCATTTTAGTTATGTGAGTAGAAAAATAATTATTGGAATAGTTTATACAATTTGGAACAATTAAAGCTGAATTACTGTGCAAAGTTCAATTATGTCTGTCAAACTTATCGCACACAATTAAATTGAAAATCATTCTTCCTGTTTTGTTTTTTTCAACCAGTACACACTAGAACAACGAACAGCTACTTCAAAACCTGAAAAAAGAAGGCGAAAAAACACCACGTCGAAGTAGCTTTCGAATATTTGGCGAAGGCGACAGGATTCGAAAAATAATATTCACGAATGAAAGAATAGAAAATGCGATGTCCATCTCTTGTGTCTCATTTTATAAAGAATGATTCGCTTTCATGCTATCCATTCACTTACTTTCCTTCGAGATTGAAAAGAAACTTGAGAGCAACGTTATCTCCGACCTCCGACAATGCAAAGATACAATAATTCATCATCGTTGAAGTAAAACCGGCCGGTAGGTAATTCTAATTTAATTTAATGCATCTATTGAACAGTGGACGCGTATATGCTATTAAAATCTTGGAATGCAACCAACGTATAAGATTTATTAACTGCAGAGATATTAATAATATGCCGCGTAGAAGGGAAAGTATAAGAACAATTGATAAACGGGTTGATAAAGACAATGTAAGCGAGCAATTACACGGATTTAATTGTTACGAGGTATTGCCATGTGGAAATTATCTTGCCAGGTTTCAGATAAAACAAAGGATATATCTGGTGACCACGAGAATTGTGACTTTCGACATAATCAAGATACAATTTTGATATTTTGGTAGATTGAAACACGTCAAATTCTGCATTTGGTGAAGCCATTTCGTTGTGTTGCCGGGACTAATCTCAACATGTTATTTTCAAATACATCACCCTGTATTTTTCGTATACGTATGTTTGAATCCAGGAGATCATTTCAGATAGAAACTCATATTATATAATTATGAGTTACAATTATATCGTCACCCTAATGCAGAACTAGCCTAATTACAAAATTGCAATTTTACAGGGGAAGGTTATTAGTTACTGAAAATCAGAAAAATTAACTGAGAAATCATTTGAGATCTTGATCAAGATGGAAAAAAATAGAGGAAACTGAAACAATAAAATATTTTCAACAAAAATTGATTTTGAGAAAAATAATGGACATAGGATATATGTGTATCCGACTTTTTGTATCCTAACTCCCCAATGTGGAGTTAGGATAGTTTATCTAATTGAATTAATGGATAAAATGGATTTAGGATATCATTAGAAACGAGAAATAATGAGAAAAACATTGAAGGTTTTATTCAAGTTGGCATAAAAACAAATTCAATCAAAATACAGTTGAATAAACATGTCCATGCAATGAATTATCAGCTATCTTCAGTCACTATCATCTTCCTGCTGATTCGTGGTGCGAGAAAAGTGCAAATTCATGAAGAAATTATGGTATTCTTTTGGTATTGCATTCTTGTTACAGAAGAATATCAAATCATTATATTTTTCTTTCGATATTGGCAAATGTTTACTTCGTAAAATTTTGAGTTCGTATTCCTCAGGATAACTGATTGCTTTTCGACCTTTTTTCAGGAGATTGATAGTGGAAAATTGTTCATCTGAGTAGTTATATTTGAAAAATAAAAATCCATCATTTTGTGTATCAGTTCTGATCAGTTTAATCTGGTTCCACTTTACTTTCTCGTTGTCGGTACCTTTGTCCCAATTGATGGTAGTGTTCTGCAAGAGATCTTTGAGGTCATACACATTGTCCTGGGACACTTCGATGATCTTATAAGGGCTTTTTCTACATGCCGTTCTTGCCAAGGTGTACCATTGACCAGGAGTGTATAGCGGTATTGATTTAGAAGCTCTTTCAATAACACTATGAACACTGTCTCCCTCATTTTGAGTATGACCACTTTCGAGGAACTTATGATTGATTATAACTTTATACTTATGGGACACGTAAAAATACAAACTATAAATGAATCTGTTGCGATTTTGGCCAGCACAATTGTCAGAATATAAGGAAAATTCTCTGATTCCTGACTTTATTCCATCAATTAAAAACATGTAAAGAAAACTTCCGATTTCACAAGCGCCCCTAGCTGCTACAGATTCGTACCACATGTAACATATACCTTTATTCTGACCCAAATCGTAAATTGTGAAATTGTACGTTGACAATTTTCTTTTATAATATGCCTCTCCAACTTCTATTTTGGGAACTTGTTGCAGGTCGAACACTGCAGCACAAAATTGTTTGTCAACTTTAGCGCGTTCTTTATCATTTTCCTTATTTTCCCGTGCAAGATTTTTGTTTTGGACATGAGAATTAAAATTCTCCTGCATCTCGCATTTTTCATTCTCATTGGAGTTATTATAGTTTGTGCACAAACCACATTGGTCTTTCTTTGGTTGAAAGAATGAGATGTTGTATTCTTCACAAAATATTTTTCTATAAATACACTCTTTGGCCATTGGGAGATTGTTTTCTTGACAATATTTTGAGTATAGCTCATACATTTTGGTGATGTTCAACGTCGAAGGAAGATAAGTTTTACTGGAATTTTTACGACAATAATGACTCTCTATGGGTTGAAAATTGTCAATATGTGATCTCACAGATTGCTTCACTTCATCAGGCAATCTAGAATTACATTTTATTTTACCTCTCAAGTCCGATTCCACAATACCAGGAGTATTCTCGACTTTTTTACCTACAGTTTTCACCATTTGATGGCTTATTGACAGAGTATTGAGAAAAAAGGTTTGACAAACTTGAATTCGACCACTTTTCTTATCGAAGTTTGGTAGGTGATAAACGAAAGTGAATTGTCTCCGACTTCCTTGGTGTTCTTCTCCAGATTTGATTGAGATACGCTCTCTAGATTTGATATTGTAATCCACATACTTTGATATAAAATTTCTCTGGAGTGTTATATCACCAAGATGCCAGAAGTCATCGAAAATGTCTTGTCGATTTGTTTCGCTCCATTTCATCGAACATTTCAGTCTGCAAGTACCTGGACAAGGAGGTTTTAATTTTCTACCTGATACAGTGTTGCCTTTCCAATTTTTGTATTCTTTTCCAGTATTTTTGAGACGTTTGATAACATTTCTTCTCCAGTTTTTTGGGTCAGCTCTCCTTTTTCGTGTTCTCTGAATCTTCATTGTAGGCTCCATTTCTTTCTCTGTTCGTTCTTCACTACCTTCCATTGTACGTTCATTTCTATCATCATTCTCTTCTTCTTCAGTAGGGACATAGTCAGAGTCTTCATCTGTATTGTACGGATCCTCCTCACTTTCTTCTTGATCCGACTGAAATTCCGTATCATGGTTTACTTCACTATCAATTCTTCCTGAACTTGTATCTACTTCGCATGAGAAATCAGTCATAGGAACATTACTCAGATCTGCAAAAACTGGTCGATCTTCGTCATGTAAGTTAGAAACAGCAACTTCTAGAATTGAAGACACGAATTAAAATTTGTATATGGATGATAAGAACAAATTTCGTCACCAGAAGAGTCTATGTTAACATTCTGAACAACCTCGCCGATGTTTTGGATACAGTCATCATTAAATTCTGAACAATCATTCGATATTTCAGTATTGTGCTGATTTGCTTGGTTCTCATCGATTTCTTTCCCAAGATCGATAGCTAAAACGATTTTGACTCAGACAAATGAAATATCATCCGAACTATCCCTTACCTGATAATCCTATAACATCCTTATCCGTTCCACTTACGCTCCTCGTAGACAAAACTTTGTCATCGAGTTTATTATTGAGAACTAACAGTGAACCTAAAAATATTGACAATATGAATCCATTTTGTAGAGGTAATGCAATCGCATAACCTCAAAGAAGTAGAATATCTACTGAATTATAAAATTTAAAATACATTACATACCTCGATATGAAGGAAACTCGGTCACTATTTGTGTTATTCCATTCTTAGCCATTTCTACAATTTTATCTGTCCTGTTACTCATTTTGTTTTGAAAAAAATCGAAACAAACTGATGATAATGTGAATTATGATACTGATAAGTCGAAGAACAGCAACGTACTGAAGAATCCTAACTCCAATAATGCTTTGAACCTGTGATAAACCTAGTAGTGCGCGGACTAGAATGTGAATGCAGAACTATCTCAACATAACATACAATCATTCTGCATTGAAGGGATACATCAGTTCAAGATGGGATAGTTTGAAACTTCAATAAAACGCGGGAAATAACGATGAATCAAGTTAGGATACCTCTGCAGTCAATCCTAAGTATCTTATAGTGTATGATAGGATAGTAATCGTGAAAACGTCAATTTTGGAGTTAGGATAATTCTGCATTAGGGTGACGATATGTCCTAATTCTGTATAATCAGGATAGATTTCTGACTTTTTGTAAATATCTACAGGGTGGTTATATTTTACTCAATTGCTATTTCAGTCAATATTGGTCTTACAGAGCAAAAGTGAAGTATTTTTCATCAGCATTCATATACCGGGTGACACAGGCTATCGGGCCACCCCTGTAACTTCTGCATTCGTCAACGGAATTTTCTGAAATTCGGTACAATCCAATATGGCGGACTTCCGGTTTTTCTGGAAATGCCAGCAATTTTGTTTTTTCAAATGGAACACCCTGTATATTTTTACATATTCAAAATAGATTCAGTGTGAATGTGTGGTGCGGTATTTGGTGCGATAGATTGATTGGTCCATTTTTTATAGATGGCGCACTAAATCAACAGAGATATCACCAATTATTGCATCAAAATATCGAACACTTTTTGGAGGAGTTGCCAGTTGCCGATCTGAACAGAATTTACTTTCAACAAGACGGAGCCCCTGCTCATAATTCCCAAATGAATGTTGATTGGTTGAATGCTACATTTGCTGAAAGATGGATAGGGACTTATGGACCAGTTCGATGGCCGCCAAAATCACCCGATCTCACGCCACTTGATTTTTGGTTGTGGGGGTATCTTAAAGATCGAGTTTATCTATCACGTCCAGAAAATTTAGGAACTCTGCAGCAGAGAATCATTGAAGTTTGTCGTGAAATACCTCCTAATTTTATCTGGAACGCAACTCATGGTGTAATTAGAAGGTGTGAACTATGTGTTCAACAGGGCGGGGGCCAGTTCGAGCAATACTTGTAGTTTCCTGAGATATTTTGTTTTCAAATAATCATTATTTTTCTAACATTGTGATGTCTTTTTTTGTATAAGTGACGGACTCTACGTTCAATGACTCGATAGACAATGTAATGAAAAGACCCATTTCTTGTCGGCGGAGAATTGATTTTTGTCAACTAATTTCGTGCAAAAATCAACTTGTTAAGTATACATGATTGTATTCAGAAAAAAAATCTCTATAAAAACAAAAATTGAAAAATATATGTTTCCATTCGAAAAAAAAAGTTGACAATCGGCGTCGTTATAGAGTTGGAATTTGAAAAAAAAAATGTTAGTGCCACCTTGTAGTATCTGATATATCATTTCATTTGCTTTTTTGTTTTTCAAAATCGGATAATAAATAGCGGCGCTATGGCTTGGGGCGTTTTTTGTCAGTCAGCCTGTATACTGATAGTTTGATGGATTTTTTTTGTATCAAACCGCAAACAAAAATGGTCAGATTTTGAACAAGATTTGGAAATCCCAGCAAAAATATTTGTGGAGAAGTAATGAAGAGTGTAATTCAAATCAGAAGAACTTCAGATGTTGGTTCAACTTGACGATTCACTTTCTAGAAATCCTAATGTGACGTTCGAGATTTCATCGTAAAGAGTAGACGCGTAGACGAAACCTCAGCGACGCCCATCTGAAACCGTATAGCGACGTCGTCAAATTCGATTCGGTCGCGTGTCGTGGGCGTCGCGACGCTTGCGCCGTCTCCTTCTCAACATTCCAGTCGGACGCAGGATCATACAGGCGTCGTGTTATCATCATCGGCGATATTCGATTCATAAATATAATACCAACTATCTCTTTTCGCGAGACCCGGCTACACAAAGCCAGTCGCAGTCGGCGTGCAAACGTTACCAAGACAACCGAACAAGTACGCAGCGGTGTTACAAAACACACCCACTCACAGCCACGACGCAACGTCTTGATTTAATTTGAAAATGCGACAACGCCACCCTTGAGTGACGATACGACTCTGTGATTATTTGTGATCTCAGTGAATGTACAGGGATGTCCCGCTGTGCAGAATCTATAAGATGATCTAACCTTGCGTATCGAAATGATGTGTTCGCTTGCACATTGGATGCCATTCGGATCTATATGACACTGCTTGTTTCCCTCTGGTGATTTTGCCCTTACTTACCATCCGTATAACTCTAAGTCTAGCAAAACAAACTATTTATCAGGACAGTAATCGGAATCGTGTACATTCACGCACGGACGGTTCGCTTATTGGTAGCGGTCATTTCTACGCTAAAAAACTTCCGCGTCTGAATCGCGCCGCCTGTATGTAGTTGGGGTTTTCTGTGACTGTTTTCGGTGGTTGCCCCTAGTCAGGGGCTATTATGGATTTAGGGACGTGTTGTGTCGGTCCTGCGGGTACGACCGTGAGATCGGAAGATCAGATCGTTCCAGCGCACACGGGCGATTGCTGGACCGGCTCAGCCAGTTCGGGCGGGCTTCATTTGCAGGGCGGCCATCAGCAGCATTTTTTGGACGCTTGGCTGTTACAGATGCAGGTAAGAGCCGAAAATGTGAAAGAGCATCGAATTTTTTAGAGATATTAGTAGGTGGGGAGGCTGTAGCCAAGCAAGTAGGCCCCATTGGACCCTTTTTGTTATTTTTTAGAGATAAGTTCCTTATTCATGATGAAAATCTATCATAGAACGCACGGTAAAACTGCACTTATCATGCGATGGGTTTTTGTTCGAAAATGTTTTTTGGTACTCACGTATTTTTGTCAGAAAAACACGAATCTGATAATGAAAATGTGAACAAACCACTATTATTTATCGTGATATTTCAAGAATTAAATGAAAATTTCGCCTAATTTTTCCCTCTGTGTTGGATGCATTTACAGCTACTTGTTCTTCTCATTTTGTCATTGGACACTTTGTATACTCATGGTGTACTTCAATGACACATTTTTCTATAGAAATATGATTTTTATGGCGAGTTTTTCATATTTGGTGAACAATCATACCAGATGACGGCCATTTAATCGATAGTCAACCCAAATACGAGATGTCAAATGTCAACAGATTGCTCTTGACTTGATTGCTCTAAATATGAATAAATCGCAAGAAAATCACATTTTTCTGCAACCGACACAAAAGTCGTCCATTTTGATACCAAAATTAGCTCTTAAATTGACGTTTCTATTACTGACACAAAAATAGGTATGTTGCTAGGCAACATATTTAGTTCCTAGGAGCTAAAGTTGAATTTTAGTTCCTAGGAGCTAAAGTTGAACTTAAGCTCCTAGGAACTTAAAAGGATGCACTGGACGTCATCAAGAATAAACAACATTGTGACGGTTGGTTATTTGGGTTGAGACGCATACCTGATTTGTTTCCGATTCCAGCAGATTTGGAATTGCATACCCATGCTGGAGATATAAATACACCTTATTATAGTTTAGTATTGAAATTATAAACATCTCAGTTAAGTATTTTTGTTTTGATCAGGGAAGCCTAAGAAGCCTTCAAGATTCAAATACTTGCTTGATCTGTATTTCATTCGTTATTCTCGGTATGGATAACTTGTTTTCGAATAATCACGACAAGCAATAGTTTTTTTGTCTCAAACAACGATATTGTTCAGCTTCATTTGATTATCAAGTCAAACACAGTGTAGTATGGAGAGGAATAAATAATCACAATTATCATTGTTGATATGCGCACTAACCTAACATTTTCCACGTCTTGTTCCTATAGCTGGCACTGGCGCGGTATTTGCCATTAGAGCACCTGGTCCATACACAAATATGTCACTCTGTGGTTGTATTTATATTGAAACTACAATTCGAACATCCTAGAAAACCTAACCTGCTATTAATGCAGGTAGAATATTCTCACCACATGGATTATTTGTCAATATTTGTTGCATTGTATACATATGGCACGGCATTGGTGGTTACTTCACATGTTTATTTGAGTTAATTGTTTCGGTTGCAGAAAAAATAGCATGTTTCATTCGGATCAAAAATGACTTTGTTCGACTCGCAAATTTTGCTTTCGCTCGGCTTCGCTAAACGCTCCGCCTCGCAAATGCAAAATTCGCTTGTCAAACAAAGTGTCACTTTTGATCCTAATAAAACAATCTACTATTCTTGGTGAATGATAAAAAAACGAGAGCAAATTGTTCTAAATGCGATACAAAAGGCAGGCGGAAGAGAAGGTGAAATTTGTAACTTCATAGTGAAATATCTTAATGAATAATGGTTTGTTCACATTTTCATTATCAAATCCGTGTTTTTCAGACAAGAATACGTAAGTACCAAAAAAATTTTTCAAAAAAAACTCCATCGCATGATAAGTGCAGTTTTACCGAACGCACCGTTTTTTAGATAGATAGATTTATTCAACATTTGAGAATCGGTACAACTTGTCGGAAAAAATATCAGAGATTTTCCTCGAACCCATTCTGCTCAATTTCCGTTCTTCAACAGAACAGAAACGATCGAGACCATGCATTGTCATCTACCTGTAAACGTTTCGTATGTGACATCATGGACTCCATTCAATCTGATTAAAATAGTTATATGCAAGATGCGTCCTTTGGACGTTTATATTGCGATCGCAATATGATTTTGGTCTGGCGCGTTCTGCGGTTGTCTTACTTGAACATACAATTACCAATTACTGAGTTACCAGAATTTATGGCTATAAAAAAGATTTCGTTCTTTTGCGGCGAGCTCTATACTCGGTTTTGCGAAATTTATTGTGACCAGAATAATGGTTCCCACGTTGTAAGTTGGGTAGGATATATGGGTC